TCCCGTTCCGGTTCCCTTCCCGGTACGGGCGCGACACTGAGGGTTGCGATCCGTTGCCGGACACGATAAAAGACAAAAAGAAAAAAAAAATAAAGAAAGAAAAAAATAAAAATAAAAAATGTCTTCCTGAAAGTCAGAAACAACGCTGAATGCATTCCCTTCATCTTCCAGTTTGGTAACCCAGTCAAAAAAGGAAATGAGGTTGGTTTGACATGACCTACTCTTGATGCACAAAGCCTTGGTGCTTCCTTGTCACCCTGATTTTATAAATAAAATCCAAACCTTTTAATGAAATATGTTATTATCTTATGTGGGAATATATTTGAACGATTAAGAGAATAGTTTATGAAATTCACATTTTTCTTAAATAAACTAACAAACAAAAGAGGATTCCTGTGCTTATCCTGAAACTTCCAGAATCTGAGCATTCTTCATGATTCCATAACAGCTCATCTTCGAGAGTTCCACTGCAGGCTCTCTCAGTCCTCATACTATCACTTGTCTGATTGAAACCAGTTGAAAATATAGAGTTTATACATTCTATTGTTTAATCACATTACCTGCTTAGCAGTTATCACAAGTCAATATTTATTTATTTTTTTCCTATTTGAAGATAATTATCTTTTATAGAGAAGATGGATACAAAGATAAATTGAGGAGTTTCACTTTTTCTTTTACCCATCCACCAATATAACTCCTTCATTACAAGAAGAGAACTTATCCTTACCTTGTTCGCCCTGTTCTGAACATGATTAGGTAGTCATTTTGTCGTCCTACCATAATGTGCAAATCTTATGATTTTTGAGTATTAGCTTACTGGCAATATTCTTACAAGCTCTCTGGTGGAGTTAAAAATATTCACATTGACCAGTTAACTTGCTGGAGACAGAAATGTATACATGAAAACACATATGTGCACATACATACATACATATGCACATATTTTTATTACAATTATTTTCCATATCTTCATCTTATTATGCTTTCTGCATATGAGAGGGTTTTGTTATATAAAGCTGGGTGATTTATATTTATATAATTTTAACAGATAATATATAATTTTAATATAATTAAATAATAAAATTTAGAAATACTTGGTTTAAAAAATAACTTAGCTTCTGCCATTTTCTAAATAAAGTATGGATATTTGCATTCCTTATACTTCATAAGAGAGAAAATATTTTCAAAATTATAGTCCAGAAAAACTATTATTTGTGAATTAATATGTGGTTGCAAAAATACCTGTTGTCGCTCAAATTTAAGACTCTTAGTTTCTGCATTTGTCCAATCTCTTCAGGAAGAAATTCCAATTTATTGGAGCGTAGAGACATAACGGTTACATTCTTACAACTTCCAATCTATAGGTAACAAAAGAAAATAAGAATCACAGTTTAGTACTATTTTTATATTAATTTTTGAATTTATAAAACAATTTAACTTACAGATTTCATTATCAATTTTAACTATCTCTTAGTATGTGTATGGATTGATATTTTATTATCTTGCTCTTTAAAAAATATTTAAAATAAAATGTGCATATATTATATATATTCTTTTAGATATTAAGACAATATATACTTAATATTCTTTTATATGTTAAAATGAAGAATTTTCTTCATAATTTTATTACTAAAATACTTGTTAACATCATTGTTTTCATAAGTCACATTGTTTTGTCTATCAAAGTGAGTATTGATATATCTGTGTTTAAATCACATTGTTTTGTCTATCAAAGTGAGTATTGATATATCTGTGTTTAAATCACATTGTTTTGTCTGTCAAAGCAAGTATTAATATATCTGCGAAGACCATACATATTCAAAAAATGAAATATTGTTGACATTTCCTTGGAAGAGTTAGTTTTACTTCACATTACAGTGGTATTTGTCATTTTTATTCATCTCTTTTGGCTGTACAATAATGATATAATGATTATTCTTCTATCATTATGGAAGTGTTTAGAAGAAAATTTTTTTTTTTTTTTCCTTTTTTCGTGTCTGGCAACGGATCGCAACCCTCAGTGTTGCGCCCGTACCGGACCNAAAAGGTCCTCTCCAAGACATGTTATAATCAAATTGGCAAGACTCAAAAACAAAGAGAGAATCTCAAAAGATGCAAGAGAGAAGCATCAAGTCACCTATAAGGGAGCCCCTATCAGACTAACATCAGACTGTCACGTAGAAACCCTAAAAGCAAGAAGCGAATGGGATGATATATTCAAAATACAAAAAGACAAAAATTGCCAGTCAAGAATATTTTATCTAGCAAGGGTACTCTTCTGAAATGAAGGACAAAGAGTATATTTCTCAGACAAACAAAAACTGTGGGAATTCACTACCACATGACCAGTGTACAAGAAATTCTTAAGAGAGTATTGGGTCTGGTACCTGAAAAACAACCATCACTACCACAAATACTCAGGAAAGAGTGAATTCTTCCAGTAAAATAAAAATACTCCCAATAAAGAGAAAAAAAGTATATCTACCATTCAAAGAAACCAACAAACACATAAGACAAAAAGTATATCAGAAAGAAAGGAAGAAAAGATACTTAAGATATCCAAACAAAAATTGGTAAAATG